ATGATCATTGTCAACTGCTATACTTTGTTGATTTAGATTCTTTACTTATTGTAGTCTCAACATCCATTTAAAAAATCATGAAAATTATAACTAAATGTTTTGTGAATTTGGGTAATATTAACATTTACTATTTCCGCCATGGATATTTTAAATACATCTTAAAAAAATACCTTTAGCAACTGACCTAAGCCGACCAAATATAGACAGAGACATACATTAAAAAACTGTTTGATGTAACACTACAAACGCAATTGCCAATCGTTATAGCATAAGTGTGATAAATATATACTCATACACATTCATCCTCGACCAGTCACTAAAATTCAGATGCGTTGTAACCCTTGAAGACTAAGCTTTAATGCCTCATTTCCAGTAAAAAGGGTCTTCGGTTCTCTACACTCGCAATAATAAACATAGCAGCTTTGAGCTCGTAATTTACGCTGCTATTCTGTGAGAGCATGGTCCTCCCCCGATCAGGCTGACCCAATCATGCTACAATGCCTTTATACAGCTGTGGTGTGTCTCTACCTAATTCCTAGATGTCAATGGTTAATTTTTTCCTTTTAAAACATTTTTTAGCTTTTATTTGCATTTTATCTTCTTTGTCCTCAACATCATGTCTCCCAGATAATATTCTATTTATTACTTTACAATAGTTATAGCTCCTGAAACGAATGACAGTATTGATTAAATATTCAACTGTTTTATTTTTATATAAGACACATTGTATAAATTCAAAATCTATTAGTGACACAATAGAAGTCTTTAATATTTCTTTTAAGTAGAGAGCTTCTAAGTTTTCTTTAACAATATGATTTATAATGTCCTGTAAGTTTGAAATTAGCTCTATTAACATATTACTGGGAGAACAAAGCCATCGTCGACCTGCATACTCTCAATATTTTATGTATTCTTATTGATCATCACTAAAAAATACATTATTACATATAGAGCAATTTTTTAAAAAAAATTGTTTTTGCTTTTTTCACAAAATAACCTCTGATATATTGTAGAGGTGCAAATATTCTAGGGTCAATTTTTTATCTCTACACTTTCTAAATGAATGTCTAATATATTTTCTATATTAATGCTGGTCGACATGGCATTAGCATTTTCGTTGAGTACGAAAGAGTATAAAGCATTACACACATGTATTTTCATAGATTTTTCCTTGAGTGTGGACACTGCTTAAATTATTTATTAAAAGCGTGGCGAAAGCCGATTCGAATTGATCGCAAGTAGGGTTGTTGTTGCTACAGCCATGGCTTCTCACCGCGCTAAAAAAAAATTCTGATGGATCCTGATTCCGGTGCCGCAACCATACAGATGATATATTATGTTTATCTTTTAATTTCTTTACAATACTTGAATTCCTTTCAGTGTCCACACCCAATTAGCCACAGTGGGAACAGTTTCTTTTTTGAAATAATACTAGTTTTTACGTTTTACCTATATCAAAATTCCACTTTCGTTAGTGGTGTCATAGACGAAATACGCTAAACCTTTTCTTGATCCAGTAACATCAAACTCTGTATACCATAAAACGTGGGTGCAAGGCATACAAATGTTTGAAACAATGTCGTTCGTAACTGCCAGTGGGAAAAAAAGAAACTTATATTTACGCGAACACTACACATTGAAATAATACTAGTTTTTACGGAATTTATCGCGTATATTTTAACTTTTTAAATACCCGACGTTTCGAACGCTTTACAGCACTCATGGTCACGGGCAGGACTGAGATGTTCAACGTCCATATGTCATAGTTAACCGCGGTTACCATAGATTAAAATTTAACTTTTGTTCCGATCTATGCAGTATGAACTTATGGTATCTTGAAGTCTTGCAGTTGTATGCTTGGGTTGGGATTTAATTTTATTTATTATAGGATCCCAAGCAGATGGTAGCACCCAGCCATCTTCTCTATTGAAATTAGGATGTTTTTTGATTTCAATAGCCTCGCGAATCATCCTTGGAAGGAATCGGTGTTCTTTAGCAAGGATTTACGGTCTATCAAATCTGATGTAGTGACGGGGGCGATCCTGTACGTGTTCACAGACTGCAGACTTCCCGGAGCGTCGATTCTTCACATCAGCTATATGTTCTTTAACGCGGGTTTTTATTGATCTTTTAGTTTGTCCTATGTAGGAGAGACCACATTCACAATCAAGCTTGTACACTCCTGCATCCTGCAGAGGGACATTACACTTGACCGATGGTAAAAACTGACCAATCTTCTTCAGCGGCTTGAAGTATGTTTTGATGGAAGCGCGCTTCAAGATGTAGCCAATCTTGTCAGTGACTCCTCTAACATATGGCAGTACAGCAGGTACACGCTCGACTGTGGCCGGCTTCACTCGTTCACTGTGACGTAGGCGCGGGACTCGAAGCTTGTTGTCATGCAAAACTTGCTTGACATGGTGGAGCTCTGCAGCCAGGTGTTTACTGTCACAGATCCCTCGTGCTCTCTGAAACAAAGATTTACCCACGGTAGCTAACTGTGAAGGATGGTGGTGAGAATCACCGTTTAAATATCTATCTGTATGGGTCTTTTTTCTATACACAGTATGGCTCAAGGTGTTATCAGGATTCCGAATTACTAACACATCTAGAAAAGCTAAGGAATTGTTTGCCTCTGACTCCATTGTGAACTAAATTTTAGAATTTATAGAGTTAAGATGGTCTAAAAATGCAATTACTTTATCTAAAGGTAGAATTGTGAAAGTGTCGTCTACGTACCGCTTGTAGAACCTTGGATTTATGGGAGAACTAAGCAGGGCTTTCTCCTCAAAGTCTTCTATGAATATGTCGGCGACAATGGGAGATACAGGTGAGCCCATCGCCACACCATCTACTTGCTTGTAGAACTCCTCCTTCCACAATAGGTAGCCAGATGTAAGGCAGGGTCTGAGTAATACTGCATATTCTACGGGCATGTTGTTTTCTTCCAGCCTTCTAGTTACAATTGAGATGCAGTCTTCAACAGGTAAGCATGTAAACAATGACTGCACATCAAAACTGACCATAGTTTCATTGTCTGCCAGATGTAGGTCTTTAATCACGCTGACAAAATGGTAGGAATTCTTTATGTGTGCTCTTGTATGTCTCCTGAGTGGTGAGAGTATTTTCGCTAAGTGTTGAGCCAATCTGTAAGTTGGTGAATCGATTTGGCTCACTATGGGACGTAATGGAGCATTGGGCTTGTGTATTTTTGGTAACCCATACAATTTTGGTGATTTGGCGCACGTAGGTATTATCGATTTTACGTTCAAATTTAATTTTTCGGAGTGTTTCTTTGTAAGGTCACTAATTGTTTTAAGTGTGTTATTGGTTGGGTCGTTTTTAACCTTTTTATAAGTACTTACATCCGACAAAAGTTCTTGTATTTTAGAATTATAATCTGACGTATCCATGACTACCGTGGCGTTTCCCTTATCTGCGCAGAGAATCGTAAGTTCGTGTTTATTGCGTAGGTTCTTTAACGCTATAAATTCGTCTTTGGGAAGATTCGGTTTAGGCACTGAACATCGACGTAACATAGACGAGATGTCGTGACGTATCGCCTCCAAATCTTCTTTCCGCATATTGTTTTTAAATAAACAGTCCTCGACACTACAGATAATTTCTTCGTACGGTAATTTGCGGGGTGTAATTGCAAAGTTGAGGCCTTTGGATAAAACCCTAATTGTTGCATCATCCAGTGTTTGTTTTGACAGATTATAGAGCGCGATTAATCTATGATCTGTGTTTGTCAATGGTTGCTTTCGGTTCTGGCATTGATTCAGATGTTTGACATTTGACTTGTTCGTTAATTTTTAATATTTTTCTATATGTTTGTTTTTGCATTCATTATATTTACTAATTTCGCGTTTATTTAATGTTTCCATGCAAAAATTATAGTCAAACGTCGTTAAAACTTTCTTCAATTACCCTTCAATGAATGTGGTCTCTCCTACTTAGGACAAACTAAAAGATCAATAAAAACCCGCGTTAAAGAACATATAGCTGATGTGAAGAATTGACGCTCCGGGAAGTCTGCAGTCTGTGAACACGTACAGGATCGCCCCCGTCACTACATCAGATTTGATAGACCGCAGATCCTCGCTAAAGAACACCGATTCCTTCCAAGGATGATTCGCGAGGCTATTGAAATCAAAAAACATCCTAATTTCAATAGAGAAGATGGCTGGGTGCTACCATCTGCTTGGGATCCTATAATAAATAAAATTAAATCCCAACCCAAGCATACAACTGCAAGACTTCAAGATACCATAAGTTCATACTGCATAGATCGGAACAAAAGTTAAATTTTAATCTATGGTAACCGCGGTTAACTATGACATATGGACGTTGAACATCTCAGTCCTGCCCGTGACCATGAGTGCTGTAAAGCGTTCGAAACGTCGGGTATTTAAAAAGTTAAAATATACGCGATAAATTCCGTAAAAACTAGTATTATTTCAATGTGTAGTGTTCGCGTAAATATAAGTTTCTTTTTTTCCCACTGGCAGTTACGAATGGCATTGTTTCAAACATTTGTATGCCTTCCACCCACGTTTTATGGCGTACAGTTTGATGTTACTCGACCAAGTAAAGGTTTAGCGTATTTCGTCTATAAGGCGACACCACTAACACGAAAGTGGAATTTTGATATAGGTAAATTCATGCCTTTATCTTGAATTTACTTGTTCAAAAACGCGATTGTATAATTTTGACTCGATCATAATTATTTGCGAAAAAACCTCTAAAAATCAGTATAGTTGAAATTACAACGAAATTACTTAATCTACATGCTTGGGAATCACTCAAATATATTTATAACATCAATATTCATAATTTACTCGCTCATTATTTTGATTACTTAAATCAATAAATTTTTAAAAAATATTTTAAGATTCTGACAATTTCTAAGCGGTTTTATTCGTCGCGGGCGCTACGCAATTTTAGACCTTATGACGGCGTTTTTTCAAGTTTTTATAGAAATTATGTATTCACTCGGATCAGTACGGCGATAGCCTGGAGCCACTTTTTCGATGCGTCCTCTTAACATTATTTCCATTGACGAATCGAATATGTTGTCCATGAAAATTAGAAGATCCGCCGTGTCCCTGCATTCTGTGGGTTATGTCCTTATCTGAAACATGAAATAAAAACTATTCATAACTCATCTTGTGGAATAGATAGAATATTTTCACGGGTTACAATTGAGTTTGCAGAGCTGAAAAGGTCTTTTAGCAGTCATTCCTAATTATTTATCTATCTGTGATTATTATTATTATCCACCAAGAAAGGATAATGGGATGATATTGGGAAGTGCCGTAAATTTCCACAGTCCACGACGCTGTCTCAATGGTTTGCTCTACTATAGAAAAATTTGACATAACTATGCTCCATTTTTCTTTATACAATATGTAACGTAATTAACGCACACCCTCAGACACCCTAATTAGTATATTATGTTATAATCATAATACATACACTGAATTTTTAGTTAAATATTTTTATGCACTAATTATTTATCAAATTAGTTATACTAATTCCGGAAGAATGTTGTGGTCACAGTACAAATCCACGAACGCAAAGACTTTAAAGTGCTTGAAATAAAGTTCACTTTTCTTTATTTTTATTGAATGACAGAATTAGTAATAATACAAATAAAACTGCACTCTTTAAAAGTCTTATTGCCTTAAGTTACGGTCCATTTTAGTTTGTTTTGACTGACCACAGATTTAGAGTGACTGTAATTTACGTAGTTTTAATTATTTTTGGGATAAAAAATACCTATATTAAAAATGATAGGAATCGATTCAGTAAACGATTCTGAACAAACTACTTTCTCAAAGTGTGTTAATTATGTTACGTGTTGTATATAGCGAATTTAAGGATTTATTACAGGACTAAATGTCGGCGGTAACACTAGTACAACCTCTGTCGGCAGCTAGTACGAAAAATTCAAGTGTGTGTGTGCTCGTATTTCTTCTCCTCTTAAATGGCTAAACCTATTTTGATTAAAATTTATGGAGTACTTATGTGTTCACCTGCATGGTTTTTATTTTTGGCTATAATTAGAGCCGGTAGGTGGCGTTGTTTTAAAGATATAGATATCACCCATACGAAGCTGCAGTGGATCACTAGTACAATAATTTACTGAGTGATATGAAGTCTAAGCAGACAAAGTAATGAGAAAAGCATGGAGATTAAAGAACAGGAGAACGATCGCTAGGTACTAAAGCATAGCCCGCCTGTCCTCGAAAATTTTAGAATGTATAGCGGCGCTGACGTCGGTGAATAGTAACTGCGAAGTTAGCTGTTTATGAGTACAAGTAGATGAAGTTAGTTGAATGATGTACAAATTTTCTTCGCGGCATTGGTGAGAACATTTTCATGCTCCGTAATTTTGTAATTTTTGACAAAAAGAAACATCAAAAAATGGAGAAATATTTTATTGTACGTGGATGTGCAAGTGGTTTAGCATCTGATCGGAAAAATAGACTGGAAATGACTATTATTGAGGGAACTTAGCGATCGCAGCGCCTCACTTATGGTGTCCACATTTCTGGGACACTATTTTCTACGGCGATCGTTCTCCTGTTCTCCAACCTCCATGGGGAAAAGGGTAGCACTGTAATAGAATAAAATGAAACAATCATTACCTGCCAAGTATCCCATGTTAGATGCCACAGTACGGCTAAATGTTTGAGAGGCAAATTTCACTTTCATTTTATTTAGTTTTTCAGGGTTGACATGATTTTCAGTTAACTTAGGGATCAATTTGATAACCTTGTAACCAGGGTTTTCATTATATAATAATTGTAAATGAGACCATTTCGCGGTTTTTATCATGCCTTCTTTAGTGTAATATTCAAAATTTTTGGTAACAAGGTTATTTCTCATTCCTTTGAGGAGGTGTGGGGGTCATACAGAGGAGTGACTTCTTCGTCATTGATTAAAATAATATTTTCTTTTGGTTCCTCTCCTTTTCTTAAATAAACCCCTCTAGTCTAATTTATCAAAAGTTTAAGAGCCTGTCTATTATTGGTTCCCTGATCACATACTGAGGCCACCACTATCATCCCTGCTTCTTGCAATCCTGTCACTACCTCTTTTATTTGTTTTGCCAATTCAGGTCCCTTAGTTGCACTTGATGAAAAAGTGTAAGAGACTGCCTGTTTGTAGTTATGCATAAGACCATGCAACATAAAAACTTGGACGTGATCTGCAAACTCCACCTTTCTTTCCTGCCCATTATCAACAAGTCCTGATATTTAATTTTTCTCTCCTGATATGTAATATTTCTTTGAATGAAATTTCGTTAAACAAAATAATACATAGCTTCTCTTGAGGTTTCATTGACTCAGCTTTCGTCTTTAGTTGTGAGAAAATGTTATCATTAATTCCAGGCCTGAGATTACTCATTTATATCAATTTAATAAGAGTTTGTTTAGCTGGTAAAATAAAAATTTCCCTGAGGAATCGATATCCTTTGGGACTTTGCTTCAAAATCGATAAAGCAGCAATTTTTCCTGTAATGTAAAACGGCGTCCTTTTTCCTTTTTTCGGTTTTCACGCCACTGTAATTGCATCAATAATTTTGCAGTACTTGAGCAATTTTGGAGAACATCTAAGACAGCAGGATTAGTTACTAATTTTTTTGCGGCTTTAATATTGGCTGTATGTTCTTTAACTTTGTTTTTCATTTTACAAATTTTTATTTTTGCAGCTACAAGTTTCTTACGTTTTTTTTTCTGCCTTTGTCAAAAATCTTTGTTTGGTATTTTTCTTGGCAGCCTGTTTTTCTCCTGTAAAGAATGGAACACCGAGCCATGGTTAATACATTATACCGAATATATTTTTCTGTAAGGGTGTATGTTTAATAAACTTAACACAAAATTCATAATTATAATATCTAGGTTTTGTTTTCAAAATCAAAACTAATTTATTTTTATTTGTGTTCAATCATCACTTCATTAGTGACACTAATATGACACTTACTTAGATTATGTTTCATACTTTTCACTGGAAGATTTGAAAGTGGCATATTATGCTCATGCACCATCAATGTATCTGGACCTGAAATGGGTGTGAATTTATTTTATTTTTGTTATAAACTTTCCAAACAAAATATATAAATTAAGGAGTCCGTAGTGTTTTCTGACTTTAAATGAATCAATCAGGCATATAATTAAATGGTTCCAAAGAAACAGTTATTGTTAATTTAGACCAAACTAAAGCTAAGTAATTTTTTCCTCAATCAGAACCAAAAACTATAATACAATATGAAAATAAAATTAAAGCACAAGTAAAAGAGATAAGTTTTAGGACTAATATTGGATGTCATGGATAAACAATTTATTTTAAATTATAATAATAACTACATGACTATTTTGTAATTTTAATTTGCTGACATTCTGTAAAATAATGGATGCATGTATTTAAATTCAATTTGAATGTTGTTGTAGGTATACTAAGCCTGGCAAGATATGGATCACATTGTATTTTTATTTTGTAATCTTTTTTCCATTGCAATAAATGATTATGGTTTTTGATAAATGCCTATGAAAATATTTTTTTAAACAAGTCAACATAATATGAAACCAAGTATCTGCATCATCTGCCTGTGCACAATTTTCATCGTAACTTCTGCGCAGATTTTGTTTTGGTTGTTACTCATCATCATCATCATCATTACAGCCCTTCACAAGTCCACTGCTGAACATAGGCCTCCCCCAAGTAATGCCACATTACTGGGGGAAGCACGGTCCTGAGCCACCTGCACCCATCGACTTCCTGCATGTCTTACCAGGTCGTCACTCCATCTAGTGTGGGGTCGCCCTACACTACGCCTACCGGTATGAGGCTGCCACTCGAGAACCTTTCTTCCCCATCGGTTATCGGTTCTTCGAGCTATATGTCCGGCCCATTGCCACTTCAGCTTACTAATCCGTTGGGCTATGTCGGTCACTCTGGTTTTACTGCGGATGTCCTCATTTCTGAGTCTATCACGCAGTGAAACTCCGAGCATAGCCCTCTCCATAGCTCGCTGAGCGTCCTCATACGGCCAGCAGTGAAGGACCACGTCTCAGATCCGTAAGTCATCACTGGCAACACGCACTGGTTATACACTTTAGTTTTCAGAGATTGAGGTATACCTGACGAGAAGATGTATCGTAATTTCCCGAACGCTGCCCAGCCGAGTTGAATCCGTCGATTGAACTCTCGGTCGAAGTTGGACTTACCTAGTCGGACTATTTGTCCCAGGTAAACGTACTCGTCAACAACTTCGAGCATAGTGCTCCCAACAATTACCGGCATGGGTGTGACATGGACATTAAACATGATCTTTGTTTTGTCCATGTTCATCTTAAGACCTATCCGTTGGGAGACACCATTGAGGTCATTGAGCATAGTACTAAGGTCCTCCAGCGATTCTGCCATAAGGACTATATCGTCGGCAAATCGAAGGTGAGTGATGTTCTCGCCATTGATGTTAATACCGTATCCTTTCCAGTCCAGTAGCTTGAAAACGTCTTCCAATGCAGCGGTGAAGAGTTTCGGGGATATAACATTACCCTGTCTTACACCTCTCTGCAGTTGGATAGGTTTCGAACTCCGGTTCTGTACTCGGATAGCCATCGTAGCCCTACTGTACAAACACTTCAGCACTTCGATATACCGACAGTCAACTTTGCACCGCTGAAGGGACTGTAGCACCGCCCAAATTTCGACGGAATCAAAGGCTTTCTCATAGTCCACATATGCCAGGCAAAGTGGCAGATTGTACTCTTCGGTCTTCTGTACAATCTGCCGCAGGATATGTATGTGGTCTATGGTACTGAAGCCTTTTCGGAAACCGGCTTGTTCGGGAGGCTGGAAGTCGTCGAGTCTGCGTGCGAGACGATTCGTAATGACTCTCTAAAACAGCACGTAGACGCGGCTCAGAAGGAAAATCGGTCTGTAGTTCTTCAAGAGAGCGTTGTCGCCTTTCTTAAAGAACAAGACCACCATGCTTCCGCTCCACGCCTCCGGAGTAGTGCCACCATGGAGGACGGAATTGAAGAGCTTCTGAAGGACTTCAAGTACCGGTGTTAGACCCGCTTTCAGAATCTCCGCTGTAATTCCATCCTCGCCTGGGGCCGTGCCGTTTTTAAGGTGGTGGAGAGCCATTCTAATCTCGCTCTGACTGACGTCCGGGATATCATCGGAATAGTGTCGGATAAGACTTGCTCTTGGATCGTTACTTACACTTGCGTGTGGCTCCAACGATGATGTGTACAGCTGCCCATAGAACCTCTCAATCTCACTCAAAATCTCAGGTGTCCCGGAAACGATGTTGCCACACTCAGTCTTCAGCCTTGACAGTTGGCTCTTTCTGGCAGACAGATCTCTGGTAAAGACTTTCTTTGGAGCCATGGTTCCACTCGATCGCTTCTTTAATACGAGCAGTATTAAAGTTGCATAAGTCTCGCCGCATGCATTTGGAGATCTGTCTGTTCAGTTGCCTGTATGCTGTCAAATCTGTTGACGATTACAGCCTCATCTCCCGTCTAGCAGCCATGAGATTAAGAGTGTGATCGGAGAGTTTTTGTTTTCTTCTGCGGCGGGTCTTGCAGAACTTAGCTCCGACCGCATGGACAGTGTCCACAAGCTTGTCATTCATATCGTCCACTGCATTGCAATCCTCTAGGCACTGAAAGCGGTTTTGTAACTCGAGCTGAAAGGTTTCGGGATTCTGGATTAGAGCACGAGGGGGATGGAGCGTTAACTTCATTAGACGAGACATCTCCAACTTAACGTTTAGGTTCAGTGTGCCTCTAACCATACGGTGATCGCTGCCAGTTTTCACCCTTGCGATCACTGAGACATCACTGAACAGTTGGCGTCTGGTCGTCATAATGAAGTCAATCTCATTTTTTTACTGATAAAGACGAAGAAAGGTTGTTACTGATAAAGACTTTTTCAGGAAAAATGTGGATAATAAACTTTTATGTAAACAGTAATAAGAGTCAAATAGAACATATAATAAAAAAATGTTAAGTAATTGGATGTAACATGCTTTAATGTCAAATGTGACAAAAAATTATGACATCTTGCTGAGGCAGAAACACAAAAATTTAGTGTGAATTGTCAAAAACTGTTCACTCCATGATCCCACTAATCAATGAATGAATAAAATTAATCCCACTAAGCAAGTCTTTATTTGGTCGAACTAGCAGCAAGTGGATTTATATTATTTACTGTACAAAAAAAAACTATAGTTTACTTACCTATATTCTCTTTGTGTATGTCAACTTATTCAATGTTTGTTGATGTAGGTTGTATATATGCACAATGAGTTGAAATGGATCTAAAAGAAAAACACATCAATAATTTAGAATAATTAGTAATTTAGTTTAGGGTTTTATAATAAAAGTAACCTAAGTTACCTCTTATAACATCAGCTATCTGCCAGTGAAAATCCAATCAAAATTGATCCAGCCGTTACAGAGATTTGCCGGATCAAACAGACAGATAGACAAAAAAAAGTACATAATAAAGTAAATAAAGTATATACTTTCATATGCATTTAGTTAAACCTTAATTTTATTTATTTGTATGGATATGAATTAATAATATTGCATATATTTAGTTTTAACTACTCAATTGATATACTGCAGCTAAATTACCTGACGATTTTGATGGTTTTTGTAGGTCCAGAATTTTTTGCAGCGGCTGTCTTTTAGCAGATGTATTAATAAACCTTTTTAGTAATAATGGTCCTGAAAAAGAGAGGATCAATACTTAAGTAGAGCCATCATTAATAATAATATCACAATAAATATAAACATAAATACTGCAATGATAGCTTTGTGGTATGACTTAAGGTATGAATTATATAATATATAATTATTTACTTCCGATAGATATAAACTTGACATAAACAAACCTGGAACATTTAATGTTGGCACAGCAATATTGCTAATTTTGTTGTTGCGACATAGATATTTGTCTTCAAAATGTGAGCGACAAACACGGCGATACTTGTATAAGCGCTCATTTTCCATGTTCAAAATGTCACCACCAACTGCATATAACCGTCTGTTGAACCGTTCTCTATCCCCTTCAGGGTTTGGGAACCTATGAAGTACTTTATGTATACCTAAAACAAATCATGTAATATGTAACATTTAGAAATAATTAGAAGGAAAGTTCAATACAACATCATTTGTATGTAAACAATATTTTATTCTTTTAATGTGTCTGCCGGGTTGGCTATAAATATCCCGGTACTTGATAATGATAATGTTTTTAGTCCCAGAAGGTTTGTTAGGGTTAAGCTTAAACCTATTAGACTGTTTTTAGATGTCAGAAATGCGTTTTGAATTAATTACGCTAAAAATAAATTTCACTAAAAATTGCTTAGAAAGAAATGCAATTTTATCAATTTGTTCTAGTATTATGAAGTAGATGTCCGGTACTTGATTTTTTAATTTTGTTTTCTAATTAAGGTTGATGATGACAATGTGGTTTGTCAGGGTTAAACTTGTACCTTTGACAATGTTTTTGGATTTTGGAAATGCCTTTTGAAATAACGACAAAAATAAATTTCACTAATAATTGCATGTAATGAAATGCAAATATGTCGATTTTTTTTTAACATGATTATCATGATATTAACATGATTCTGCCGGCATCAAGATTTCATGAATGTAACTGTATATACAGACTATGAAGTTTGTATTTCCAAAGATAGGCTTATTTAATTTTTTCTTACAAAGTTAAAAGTTATTTTCCGATGAATTAAAATATAGTTTTATAAAATTTCTGCAAGTATAATAAAACCTACATCCAGGTGGCAAATGTACTATGTTTTTTTTATAGGATAGGGTGATGAACGAGCACACAGTCCACCTGATGGTAAGTGGTTCCTGTGGCCCATAGATTTCTACATCTATCCTCAATTACGAATCAAAATGCAGATGCATTGTCACCCATGAGGACTAAGATGGAATGCCTCGTTTCCAGTAAAAAGGGGTCTCCGGTTCTCTACACTCACCATACGTTACTACATCTATCCTCAATTACGAATCAAAATGCAGATGCATTGTCACCCATGAGGACTAAGATGGAATGCCTCGTTTCCAGTAAAAAGGGGTCTCCGGTTCTCTACACTCACCATACGTTACAACAGCATTAAGCTACTATTTTTAAACACAGCAGCATTAAGCTACTATTTTACGCTGGTATTCTGTGAGAGCGTGGTCCTTACCCGGTCAAGCTGACCTATTCCTCCTATTCGTGCCACAACTATAACTACTAATATAATTGCAGCATGGTTCTACCACACACACATATATATATATATATACAGTGTGTCTGGTCACGACCTAGCGATAATTTAAAGTTACAAAATATACCTAATTTCATCGACGAAAACACCCATATATAGGGGTCTACGCCCCCCTCCTGTCGGAATGGCCGCCATTTAATTTTTTTTATTCTTGTAGATACCTCTGCCAAAAGATGCAGATTTCTCTAGACAGAGAGGTCCTACAGATGTAAAAAAAGCATCTATCAAATAAAAATAAACATCACGGAAAGTTTTCCCTACAAAATATCTTAAAACATTTACAATGCTAATTTAAGTAAAAAAAATTGACTATTTTTTTATTTTTCTTAACATATTTCAAAAACTAGCACATTGATACTAAATTTTTTAATACTGTCCTAATACTTAAGGATATTTCTTACATATTGACATTAAAATTATTGTTCGTAATTGCATAACTCGAGAGTTAGGGCTGTTTGAATACGACCCTTTTGCGAGGGTCATGTATGTAGAGCCTCATATGAGCGCTATTAATTTTCGATAATGGATTAAATAAAAATACACTATAACTTTTAAGAAACTTTTAATGGCAATAAGTACTATTATTAATTTAATAATGGTTCAAAATGTCCACCTCTATTCTGTAGACAGGCTACTGACCTTACAGCCATTTGTTGTGTGGCCCTTGATATTAAGACTATGTCGGATCTTATGTCATCCGCAATCGTCATTATTTTGTCGAGCAGTTCTTGTCTGCTATTTGGGACTGTAGCATAAACCCTCTGCTTCATCCATCCCCCAAAAAAAATAATCCAGAGGTGTTAAATCCGGAGAGCGAGGTGGCCAAGCTACCGTTCCACCACATCCTATCCATGGTAAATAATTTTCATTAAGAAAAGCTCTCACAGCACGTGCGTAGTGAGCTGGTGCACCGTCCAACTGTAGCCACATGCGCCTTCGGTTGATCACTGGTAATTCCGCCATGATTTCTCTAAATGTGTTCCTTAGAAAATCCAATTAATTTGTCATCAATCATAGCCGCCCACACATTTACTGAAAATTCATGTTGAAATTTACTGGGCCTTACTGCATTTGGATTTTCTTGCATCCATAAATGCTGGTTTCTATGGTTTATAATACCAGCTCTTGTAAAAGTCGCCTCATCGGTCCACATGATTTTTTTACAAAATGTCGGTTGACGTCGCACACAACCGTTGAGCCACGAGCAAAAAGTGGCTCGCACAGCATAGTCTGGCTCTCGAATATCTTGTACGTGACGAAAATGGTACGGATGCATGCCTTCGCGTTTTAAAATTTTCCACACAACCCATTTTGACAAATGCAGCATCATTGCTATTCGCCTTACACTGAGCCTGGGATCTCGGTAAATTAATTGAAGAACTTCTTCTTCTGCTTGCACTGACACTATGCGGGAGCGTTCATTTGGCGGCCTTTGGATGCCATATTGCGACAATCTTAAGTGAATGTCAACAAAATAATACTAGTTTTTACGGAATTTATCGCGTATATTTTAACTTTTTAAATACCCGACGTTTCGAACGCTTTACAGCACTCATGGTCACGGGCAGGACCATGAGTGCTGTAAAGCGTTCGAAACGTCGGGTATTTAAAAAGTTAAAATATACGCGATAAATTCCGTAAAAACTAGTATTATTTCAATGTGTAGTGTTCGCGTAAATATAAGAAATCATTATGTCAACAAAAGTTTGTCGACTGGGTGTAGGCCGGTCGGGATACCTCTGACGATACATTCGTAAGGCGGCAGCAGCGCTTCCATTACATCTGCCATACACGAAATGCATGTCAGCTATGTGATGAGACGAATAGTTAGACATGTTTTTATCCGAAAAGTACGTAGTCACTACAAACTACAACAAACTCGGCAGAATATCTCGGTGAAGGAATAGCTCACAAAACGGAACTGAAAAAGTAGCGATCGCAACGCAGAACGGAGGACAACTGATCTAACAAACATTTATCTTCGATACCTGCGCTGGTCAAACATGATTTTTTGTCCTACTTATTCATCGCCTAACAATAATACAAATCATTTTCCGTCCTTGTCACATAAACCCTATTCAATGTAGCAGGTAGCTCTACATGGGTTTGGAACCGTCGCAAAAGGGTCATATTCAAACAGCCCTAACTCTCGAGTTATGCAATTAAGAACAATAATTTTAATGTCAATTTGTAAGTAATATCCTTAAGTATTAGTACAGTATTAAAAAAATTAGTATCAATGTGCTAGTTTTTGAAGTATGTTAAGAAAAATAAAAGAAATAGTCAATTTTTTTCACTTAAATTAGCATTGTAAATGTTTTAAGATATTTTGTAAGGAAAACTTTCCATGATTTTTATTTTTATTTGATAGATGCCATTTTTACCTTTTAAATGACATTTTTTTTACATATGTAGGACCTTCCTGTCCAGAGAAATCTGCATCTTTTGGCAGAGGTATCTACAAGAATAAAAATTAAATGGCGGCCATTCCGACAGGAGGGGCGTAGACCCCAATATATGGGTGTTTTCGTCGATGAAATTAGGTATATTTTGTAACCTTAAATTATCGCTAGGTCGTGACCAGACACACTGTATATATATATATATATATATATATATATATATATATATATATATATATATATATACATATATATACATCCCGTAACTTATTGTACGTCCACTATGGCCAATTTTGCATATAATGTGGCGTCAACCTGCTTACGACGTCCAATATACGGAAGTCAAATAGACCTAGCGCAATGTTCGCAAATTGTCACGCTGATCACAGAAATGTCAAAATCTAAAAAAAAAATTGGACGTCATTTTTCTTCCAATCTTGCTGTACTGAATATTTACGTAGTTCCGCTAATTTTCGTTGCAAAAATAATAGCGCTGCTGTCGATTAGTGAATACTTTCATTTATGGCCGTATTTGACTTCCGCACAAAATTAGAAGATGGGACATTGCCGTTCCATCACCGTTGCCAACGTGTTACTTGTATTTGGTGATATATGGTAATGACTGCCTCGTTGGTCTAGTGGTTGTAGTAGTGCGACTGATGATCGTGAGGTCCTGGGTTCGACTCCCGGGTCGAGCCAAAAAATCAATTATTGAGTTTTTCTGTCAAGAAATTCTCAATATCTGCCCGGAGTAAGGAAGTTGGCGGTGTATCACCCCCGTGCCTCGTAAGCACGTAAAGCCGTTGGTTCTGCGCCTGATCTCTCTCCGGTCGTGTCGGTTTACCGTGTCATCGGATTATGAGAATGAGGGAATAGAGTGCACCTGTAGTTGCTCCTACACTTGGGCACTATAATCCTGTCCTGCGCCGATGGCTAGTCTTCGTTGAGGCAGGCCGCCGTAACCGTAATTCGGTCTGCAGGGCATTATTATATGGTTTATACTGCGCTTGGTACTAGTAATTTTACTTTTAAACTTGTTTTCTTAACTTTACATTTACCTACACATAATATGGACGTCCGAATATCCTAAAACTTTCATACTGAATGATATTTGACACCCGTATTTTTGAATTTAGTTATATTTTTATAAATGTCTGAGATGCGGAATGTTTAAGATGCGGACGTCGGCTTATCGGTTTATTTCATGCTGCACTATATTTTAACATTTTACATTTGGTACTAATCTGCCTAAAAGAACTCTTGTTAGGTATTTCGTAAGCAACCCATAATTCTGTTTGAGTATAAGTTACCTTCTGATTGAGTACAGGAAGATGGACTCAATTGTAGATATTGACAGGTTTCATAGAAGTTTGTTTTATTATATTGTGACAAATAACCTCTGACTAATAACCTAATATGGTCTGGCGAAGAAACTCATTTTAATATAAGGTTTTAATGCATTAACTGCCAATAGGTTGTTAATTTCTACAATAGACCGTGGCATATTGTTGCTGACATAACTCCGAAAATATAATTTATTTACTTGATCGTGTTGAGTTTTGGTGCTCTCACTGCATCTTAAGGATGAGTGCGACTATTGTACCTAATCTGTGCGAAATTACTCTCTACTTAACTAGATTAATTTATTGTGAAAGGCTATTTTTGTTAAATTATATTATGTTTGGTTTTGCAGTTAATTGAAATACAATTTGTTTGTGTTGTTGTTATAAATATTGGACGCTATATTACTAAAAACATGCATATCGTGCTCTAATTGGTGTCTGCATTGTGACCTACGCACATTGAGAACTTTTCACGCTTATGCTTGCTTGCATTTAAGTTTCTTTGGTTATATTTAGTAACTTAGGTAAATAAACTTGTGTAAGTTGATTGTACTTGACATGGACATTGAACGTAGTATTTACCCATATACGGACGTCAGAATATCCTAAAATATTCACACTAAGTTTTATTTGACGTCCACTTCTTCGATATCCGATGTCCAAAGTTGTTGTTGATTATTACATTTTACTATTTATTTATGTTGAAAAACTCATCCTTAAGATAGTGATCATAAAAAGTAAACTCGCAGTGGGAGACCCAAAACTCAATACGATCAAGTAAATAAATTATTTTTTCGGAGTTATTCATGTCAGCAACAATACGCCACGGTCTATTGTAAAAATTAACAACCCATTGGCAGTTAATGCAGTAAAACCTTATATTAAAATGAGTTTCTTGCCAAGGTCATATTAGGTTATTAGTCACAATATAAGAAAATGAACTTCTATTAAAGCTGTCAATATTTACAATTAGTACTTATTTACAATAGTAAAATAAATAATAATATAGTCAATCTATAATGTATCACGGCTGGGCAATCCTAGATATTTTTTCGTATTTAGTAAACGAATAACAAGTTGGTAAATTAATCATGATATCTATCTGTTTTTTTTTTTCGCCGGAGACAAAAATGATATTGCGTATTTTTCGTAACTGCCCATTCTGTGGATTTATTTCATTATTTTGAACAATAGGTATACGAAACTTAAGTGACTAAAATTAAATCTAATCTGAACCAGAATAATAAAAACTGTATTATTCTTGCTAAAGGAATCTAATAAAGATCTGTTATTTTTGTCTCCTGCGAATAAACAGACTATAGGAATCTATCGAATACCTACATAAACAAAATATCACCTATAAATAAAATATTACAAAGTAGAAAAACTAATAAGAGTAGAGAGCAACGTCGCACCATACAAAGGAATTGCATTAAACAGGAGAATGAATTAAAACTATGTATATTACGGGGATTCTGGATAATTTGTAATATGGAAGGGAGTCCTGATTGGTTTCCCTCCATCTGGCAATATACGAATATTTGTATATCGACGTATGGTAAATTTTCAAAGAAATGAGTTAAACACTATCTTTGAAATTGTTTAATGGACCAATATTCGCTGTCAAATGTATAAAAATTGCCTACAAGTGGTGGACGCTACAATAATGCGAAATGAAAGGACGTAGAATCAATATTGTGATGTATATATATATATATATATATAGTTATTAATAGACATAAAATTGAATAGACTCTGTACAAAAGGAATTCAAACTATATGGAACAAAGACTTAAGATTCATAAGAGTTTACTAGAAAGAAAATCATAATATAATGAATATGAGAGGTAGGGCAGTTAAAAAATGAATGATATAGTTTATATAGTGGCAAAAAAATTTGTAAATCAGAAGATCAGTAACGGGTCTGACTGCGAGAAATAATAGAACTGATATGTCTAGAAATTGAATTTTTAACAATGTTCCTACACAATAATAGTCAAACTTTATTTTTAATTAAATATTATTTTGCTCACAGAAAAATCAGTCCTGTGTGATTCACAACTATTTTAAATCAATGGTAAAGCTTACTATTTTATAATGTTGGTGACATCAGGTATAAAACTAAGAAGGGATTTTAGCAGTGCAGTTCTGTACAATATTTTTTATTCTATTGGCCAAGTTCAAATGTTAATGGTTCGTAACATTAGATTAGTTTTAGTTTTATTTTTTTACGTTAGTGTTGTACCTGATTATAAAAAAAATCATAAACTCCTTTAAGTTTAATAATTGTGGATTGTCGAACCACATTAACCTTCGAAGATTAGTTTTACCCAATAACGGGTACTACCAATAGGTTTTCAATTGTGTATATTTTACGCACCTTGCATTGGGGCATTCACGACCCAATCACACACAATTCACCAAAACCAAGGACAAATATGTTTAGATTTTAACCAAGTAATTGAGCCAATATATACCTTCCGTATCCTTACATCCAGGAACACAGCAATGCTTGTCAGATGACATAGGTAGTGATAACAGTTATCCAACACTTAACACAAAGGTCCTGTCCTAAATAAAACTAAACTGCACAAGGAGTCCTGTCTCAGTTCAAACAACTAACGATCAGTAACTTGGTTCACAGTAATATGAACCGGAGGAACAAAAGCTCAGCTCAACGGCAAAACAATAACTGGTGTATCTGTATTCACTGCAATGGAATGCACAAAAATATCACACAAATAACACCGAGGCAAGCGATGGTATCTGCTGGTATCTGCGGACATGGTCATAGATTATTGTGTGTATAGTGTATACTAGAGACATGGTGGTTGTACTCACAGACTACTTACTATACGCTCTGACAGCGCGCGAGATGTTATACTCCCGTTCGCTCGGGACCTTAATGGCGGGAAAATTTGTAAGTTAGAAAATTTTTTTGCTATATGCAAATTTTCCTATATTTTCACTTTGAGACAATATTTATGGATAAAACTTACAGGATTTGTTGTTGAATGTATAAACTATCGAATAAAATTATTTTTGGTTGCTAGAAATTGTAATAAAATACATAAATTGCCCTGTATAGCATAGTAGTAGTATATACTACAATTTTAGTGACAAAATTACTACTAATTTGAATTCTACACTTTTGTTTTTGGAGAAATTTATGTGAAAATGTTTGGAAATATGTATATTTTTATGTTTTATGTGTTTCTATTCGTTACTCATACCAAAATATTAAAATATTAAAAAATTAAAAAAAAAAATAATAATATTTTATCTGTATGACATTTCGAACAATATTTCAAAAATAGTTTTGTATGAATTTGAAATAAATACAACGTCAAGTTATTTGAAATATGTAAGAAAACTATTTTTACTTACATTTTACACTAAAAATAAATGAGAATTTGAAAAATAACACATTTATGACCCAACCGCCAAAATGGGCCTTCCGGATTTTGAAGTACTTTTGGCAATTTACTTTTCACTTTTTATACCACAAATTATATATCTACGTGTTTACTATATTACAAGGAATATAAAAAAGTATAATACTTTCGTTTTTAGTCCAGACACAAATATAAAATTCTATAAAAAAAAGACGGAGCACCTTCATCAAAGCGACACGTGGAACGCCGAAAGTTCAGTGATTTCTTTTTTTTTAAGAAACATTGCCAGGTTATGGTTTAAAATAAAAGAGCATATCTTTGTCTTTGATACTATTATCTATTGCATAGTGTCTTTGGTTTTGTTTAAAACGAAAAAATAGTTTAAAAAAAAGTTTTCATAGGGCAGTAATTGTGATCTAATTAGTGCTCTTTTGGAGCGGACGTAAGGTAGGTATTGTACGATCTAAAGTGTGCATCTCTTGAAGCAACAGGATAAGGAAAGGATACGTTGTACTAATTTGTAATTTGTACATAGAGTAGAGTAATATATACCGAACAATTTGTATTTTAATTTGTATGCATTATGAGTTTATAAGTAGTGCTGTCATGCTTGCCATTTGTCTGTCCAATTTCCTATATATACTTATTATACTCTATGTTTATTCTCTTTGTGTCCAACCAAATTAAAAATAACAATATTTCGTTTCATCTAAAGGTTCTTGAAATACTCCATGATTTTGCTGCACTATAATGTTCTGTTCTGAATTACCTAATTATTTGTTATAAGATTGACGTGCCTGGTATATATAGAGATCAGTGGAAACAGGGTAATTGCGCCCTCCTTTCTGCCAAGGAGGGTCGCGTTCGTATACGGCTTAGAGATCTCTAGTCAGATCGTTAAGCCAATTCCTAAAAGGCGGTGTTTAGTGGGTAAAATTCTCCACATAACCACGCAGCCGGCTGCGTGGTATGCTATGAGCATTCACCGCCTCCCTCCCCCGCTTTCCGGAGGGTTGCCCATATTTGCTTCGGGCGCAAAAAAAAAAACAGGGTAATATTGTTTTGTGGAAACAGGCGTGTGTCAGTATCAGTTTGCTTAGAGTCCTATATCGCCATCTATGTATACTTTTCAACTTTACTTCACATCCTTCAGCACTTCTACTTCACATGCTTCATATCATGGTAACTTAATAAATATAGGATAGATGGCGGTGGCATCATTAATTTAAATGTGCCTTAATTTTATTTGTATCTAAATATAATGATAATCAATGAACATGATCCTATATTCATAGGTAATTTAGATAACTAAAAATAAAATTAAGTTATTTTAGAAGACAATGTCGTGAAAGTCAATACGTCGTTGATACGACATAATAGTCCAGTTACAGTACATATATCGCTAGATGTCACTATCTGAATATAATGTCTAAATCGAAAAATGTACTGCTGTCGTTTTTTTCGAACTAACTGTACTTTGTAGAGTTTTAAGTTATGTATTCGATTTGCTTTAACAGTTTCTGATTATCAAGAAATTGAATGTCGCGGAACATAATAATAACAAAACTCAATCACAAGTTATTTTCCTTTGATAGATGGAGCCAAATTCTCCACCGTAGGACCCGCAATACTTACAATACAATACAATACTATTTAACGCTGGTGGGGTAGTATCTAATCCTTCCCCTGTGGAATAGACCCATTTATGCTGAAGCACAGAACACTATTACCCCTAGCGGAGATGCTGAAGACATTACAGCTACAACATGGCTCTACCACATACAGTAAACCAGAAGAAATGACCTGTCTGTTTCTCCGTTTTTGTACCCCATCTGTAGTTAAACATAAGAGGTCCTACCATAGAATACTATAAATTATTATATACCTATAATACCTAGTATATTATAATATAAATGCATGCTATGTAAACATATGTTATTTTGTGAGGGAGCACAAATATATAACAGATTACCTAATGATTTAAAAGAGTGCAACTCATTTGGCTTTTATAAATCGTAATAAAAAACAGTACATTTACGACATTTTTTAACATCTATCTATTGAAAAAGTGCGATGTCTCGACGTGGTTAAATATTATACTTTATTTTTTGTAAAATGGTTTATAAGCTTATTATAAGTGAACTCTACTATTAGTTAACAAAGTTCTGTAAATACCAAACAGTATTGAGAAAAAAGTTGTAGTAAATTATACACAATTTCAAATTTTGTCTTATAGTAAAATAAATAATGAATCATATCATCCGATATGGTCTAGTGGCTAGGATACCTGGCTCTCACCCAGGAGGCTCGGGTTCGATTCCCGGTATCGGAAACTTTTTTTGCTTTAAGAAGTAATTAAAAGTGTTTATGAAATGAACATAGTAGTTGAAACGGGCAAATAGTTTTTATTTATCTTAGTTAGGATAAGGAAGAAGTGAAATTAAAAATTGCGTTTTTTCATGATATAATTTAAATGTAGAACGACCAACATGCTGTCGTTAGCACAGAATAAATAATATTACACATATCGTTACTTAGATTATGGTACTTTTTAATAAAAAAAACTATATTTATAATTTTATTATAGGAATATTTTTACTAAATAACTGATACGAATTTAAAAAAAAACAGAAATGTTCGGCATGGCTGTAATGATATATGAAGCCAAAAACTACCCACGACTAATAACTCAGTCTTCATTCCTCTTCATTATATACGCTTTGGCTTTCCCCACTTACCATCTGATGAGATTGTAGTTGAGCGTTGGCTTAAAATAATAAAAAAAGAAACTTACCCTGTCAAAGTCTGAATGTAGATATTATTTCTCTAACCAACCATAGAAATTAGCTTACATTAGAAATTCTCGATGGGATGCGACTTATTTTATTTGGTTTGGTGGAGCTTCAACACAACCTTTAAATTGTTCAGTGCATTAAACCAAACTAACTACTAATAATTATTTGATTTTCAGTCGGTATTTTACCTTTGAAGATCGGTTACGAGAACCATCAACGGGACATTTTACAAAAGCGAAATCTAAAACCTATCCTCAAAATTCTGTTTGTAGGTCCTACACCCACTAAAAGAATTTTGAAGACTTTTCAATAGAAACATTATAAGTTTTGGATAAAACAAACCTTACCAGTTTCATAGAAACACGATTTAGTTCATATTGAAAGAAATGCGTCAGTCGCTGAGCCACAGCAACCACTTACCATCAGGTGGACTGTGTGACTCGCCCTATCCTATAAAAAATACATCTAACAATAATAATGTAATAATTATTGTTAGATGTATTTTTTATAGAAATTCAAGACATTAGTTTACTTAATGTAATGTATCTACCTAGCATTTACCTTGGCGAATTTCTGCATAAAAAACCCAAAACAAAGAGGTATTTAGTGTTGGAAGTCGTTGTTTCGTTTAGACATATTTTTTATCACATCGCATGTTTTTATTGCACTCGTTTTTACTGATAAGTGATAACATCATATTCATACCAGCCATGCTCGCTCTACAATTCCGCAAATCATGCGCAAAGGCGCAAAGAGGCGGAGTCTTTGCTTGTAAGTTTATATTTAATTTGAATTTTGGCAGAAATGTTTTCAAATCACGAAAGATTATTTTTTTATTTCCACATATATACATTTCATACATTCTGTGGCAAATATAGGAAAGTGCAGGGGAGTTCATTGATAATCAAGTAAACAAGTATTTTTTCACTTTGCGAATTTGCAAAGTAGCTTGTCAATAATAGCTTTTCCCGACAGAATTGGCATACGAGGTCTGTTCAAAAAGTATCGCGAATTTTGAATTTCCGCGGGCTTCCTATATTTGATTTTTGATTTTTTTGTAGCATTACGTTGGTACTCATGTCCCTTACTTATGCTGACAGGGTCGGCTAGTTTGAATGTTTAGTTAATTTTTGACAGCTGTTTTGCTTGGATGTGTTTTGGCTCGTATTCGATTTTTGCCTATTCCAAAAAATGGTTCAAAGAATCAGTATTAAATTTTGTGTGAAAAACAAAATAAAGTGTGCGGGCGCATACTGAATGTTGACTGTGGCATATGATAAAGCTACCTTGGACCAAAGCAACGTTTATCGGTGATACAAAATGTTCTCAGAGGGCC